GGGGGGGGTCCCTCCTAACATTCCTACCAGACCTAAAGGGTCTGGTATGAATTGGGGAGAAACCTCACGCTTTTTTTTTTTTCATTTTCTGCAGTCTGTAAAAAAAATTAAAAAAAATTTGCTGCAACGGAATTTGTCCAATAGCAAAATGAGAAATTACATTTAGGTCAATAGGAGAATGCCAATTCAAAAGCAAAGAAAAAAAATCTTTATCCCCTACCTTACCCAGGACTAGAACCTGCGACCTTAGCAATGGCAAACCTGTCCCCTACCCTCTACACTATTGCTTCTGTACTTTAACCAAGGAACTGTTGGAGAAGGTAACTGTGGTATTTTTTTTTTTCTGAATGTCGTTTTGCTGCAACAAAATTCGTTTAATAACGAATTTCGGGAAATCGGGAACTTCGGATTCTTTTGCATTCATCTTAGCTTTAATTCGGAATTCGGATGCATCCGAATCTCCGAATTTCCGACAAATTCGTCCAAAACGAGTTTTGGAAAGAACAAAATCGCACATGTCTAATAACCAATTCACAAGTAACAATTGAAGCAGACCATGGGTCAGCTTTAGACCCAGAGCAGGTGACTGGACCATCAACTATATTAAAATGACAGAAACATTAGCGGCAACTATAAAAAAGGTAGAAAGAAACCAGGGTGCCATTAATGATTTTGTCTTCTGACACTGCTATGTTAATGCTTTAAAGGAGAACCATGGGCCAACCTTGTTTGCTCATAGTTATCCTCATGGCCATGGGAGGACATTTACTGTACTGTGTCCTCCGGTGACCCAAAACCCGCTATATGCTGAGAGCGCTGCAGCCGGAACGAATCTCGACAATACTGTTGAGATACCCACCGCTGGCTGATAGACAGCTGGCTCTGCCTCTCTAGAGGCAGAGCAAGCTGTGCCCACCTCCTCCCCTGTCTGTTCCTCCAGTCAGCGCTAGAAAATGGAGAGGGGAGGGGGGAAACCCTGCGGGAGCGGTGACTGACAGTCACTGCTCTCTGCAGGGAGAGGATCAGGAAGTCAATGATCGACGATGTGTGTTCACTGACTTCTCAATCAATAGAGCTGACCTGTGACAGGTCTTTGTCACAGGTTGGCTTGAATTATGGGGATGAGTGTTTTTCACTCACCCCAAAATTCACCTTTAAGGTAGTGGTGACCTGAGACAAGTATGCCATTCATGTTCAGGTTTCACTCTAGCTTTCAAATCTGCATACTTGTCCCTGGCCAGTGAAAGCACTGAAGTCACTGGATCAACATCTCGACAGTTAGGAAATAAATATACGTAGAAGATCTAAAAAGTAGCCTTGTATTTGTCTCTGTTCAAGTTTCATGTAAATACCAGAACGGTTTGCGCCAAAAGATCATAATGGGAAATAATACATAAGCAGAGCTACCTACACTATAAACCACATTTCAGAATGATCAGTAAGAGCTAAATACAGCTAGCTAAGAATAGCTAAAATGTCTGTTGTTTTTGCTTCCATTTGTGACCCTCATTTTCTGTCTTTGTGATGCCCATAAATAGTTTTGGTCCGTGTCCCCATTGCAGAAATTTGAATTGGATTTTGCCCCCACAGGCTCTAAACCTTCCTCACTCCTCTCCACTAGAAAATTAAATGCAGTCAGCGTTTTATTTTATTGATTTAATTTGCTGCATATGGTTTGCTGAGGAAATCTAATGACTTTCTAATTCCTTTTAATGTATCTGTATTATTTACCTGTGTTCACAAGGATTACTTGCTTTTGTAATAAGGTTTTGTGTGCAAAAACTTTAAACATTTATTCTGAATTTAATATAACAAAGTAAACACCCACTGAACTCATCCAAAGTAATTCTACATTATTCTGAGAAACTCAAGGTTAGATAAACCTTTCGGTCTTTAAAAGCTGCGATTGTTGCATGCATCTAGCAATTTGAATGTGAAAATTATTCTGGAGCGCAGACTTTTACCATCAGTGGTTTCATTTCTGTGTTCATCTCCACGGTAAAGCTGGTAGGAGTTGCGGTCGGTAATTGCTGGGCATCAGTTATCTTGCCAGTGACTAATAATCTGTCAGGGCACAGAGACAAAGTGGGTATGTTGCATATCCCACCTCGGTAATCAGCACAGGCTGACAATGGCATTCATGCTTTACCTGCCATAATAGATACAGAAGACATACTAAGCTATAGAGACAGGTTGCCCACTGTGACTGAAACCTCCATGTTCCCAATGCACAATCACAACTCTTCCAAAGAGCGCATTAGAAAAAAAATCCTACTATTTCCCCTCTGTATTCTATCTGTCTGTATATCTGTCTAGATTCTTCAATAATATTTTTGAAAGCTATAGTTTTTGTTCTTTATTTAAACAACTGATTCCAACCCTCATGGAATGGTAAACAACTTAAAGCCCAATTAATTCTTCTGGTGCCTAGTGGTCCTCCTGGAGTTCCCACACTGGTGTATATTTTTTGGCTTTTTTTTTTATTCTCACCTTTTTTAAACATTTTCAGTCCAGTCGTGTAAAGTCCAGGGTCTTCTCTGGCAGTGAGTGGCTAGTGACCCTTTCTGTATCATTACACTAGAAATGAAGGACACTATGGGGTCTATTCACGAAGCTGCCGAAGGATCTGGCAGTAGCTTCGGCCGATCCTTCGGCTAGCTTCGGCCCCAGGACCCCTTCGGTTCAGTAGAACCAAAGGGGTGCTGTACGGGCTATTCACAATAGCCCGTACAGCTCCCGATCATGGCCGAGCGGCTCAGCCGAGCCGAACGCATATGCATCGGCTCGGCTGAGCCGTGCTGAAAGCCAAAGCTGGCCGAGCGGCCGGCCATTGGCCGGCCAACAGCCTGCTTCTGACAGCTGGGCGGAGCCCGCCGTGATCTTACGGCTGGCTCCGGCCACTTTCAGAGAGATCAGCGTCCCTGGTTGCTAACCAGGGACACTGGTCTCCAAACATCTAACTCTCCCTGGCGCCC